CCAGAAGATATTTATAAATTATAACTTAACAGTTTGTGTTTTACATTGGATTACAATGTATGCTAGTCACAACGTTATATTTCCTTCCATTTGTAAATGAAAAACAAAGGTAGTAAAAAAAAAAATCCCTATTTTAGATAGAAGCAGCCAAGTAGTTATTTAGTAGTTACTTAGATGGATAGAATAACTACTATTTAGTTATTTAGATGGACAGAAAAACTACTATTCCATCCTCTTACATATCTCATGATTTTAACTACAATACTGTGGCCACAAGACCTGGATTCAGATCCTGACTCTAATTGCTGCTTGTGTCACTGGGCAATTTATTAATGTTTTGGGACCTTAACATCATCATGAGTAAGATGAGAACAGCAACTACCCACTTTGGACAGGTGTAAACAAATAATAATGCCAAATGTCTAGGGCACTGAATAGAATCTATTCAGAAAGTTTTCCCAAACTTTGGGTCTAAAATTGAGTTCCCCAAAATCCCCAAAAGTTCATTCACTATACATATAGACTGTGTTTATTAATATAAATTACATAAAGGCACATAAAATACAACTCTATCATAAAACTGACCTCTCTGAGGACAATATGCTCTAATACAGTTAATATTTTGAAATACCAATTTTTACTAATTTTAGAATTGTGCAGAGTTTAGAAAAACAGGAGTAAAAGTGGCACTGGATCATCTGTAGCCCTTTGAAAACAAAATAACCACTCCCAGAAAACTCAAATTTATATCTTCTTTTCTTTGTATATATTTCCTTAGAGCAAGCAGAGGCATTTGAAATCAATTACTGCTCCTCCTTTTCAAAATTAGACTCTATAACATCTGAATGTCCTGCCAGTGATTATGTGGAAGGTTTAGAGGCAAGCCAGTCTCCTAAATCTTGTCCTCTTGTTCTCTACTCTCACCCACCATCATTCAGTACAATAATGTGTATGAAAGGGAAAAGGAGGTGACTCAATGCTTGCTTAAGTGACAACAGAGGTGTTTACAGATTGATATGAATATCAGTGTTGCAACTTCTGCTTGCTTTAACAGAAACAACCTAATTGTTTTGTCATTGAGTTACTTATGAGTTACTAAGTGCCCATGTGGAACTTTGACGCACATTCCAAGATGAGGAGATAAAAAATAAAAGTGATTAAAGGCAGAAATCCCTGAATACAGAGTTGGGAAGCATTAAAAGTAAGCAGCAACGAAAACAAAAATAAATAAGTGGAACGTAATTAAACTAAAAGTTTCTGCACAGCAAAAGAAATAATCAATAGAGTAAACAGACAACCTATAGAATAGGAGAAGATATTTGCAAACTATACATCTGACAAAAGACTAAAATCCAGACTCTACAAAGAACTCAAATCAGCAAAACAAAGCAAATAATTCCATTAAAAAGTGGGTAAATGACATGAATAGATATCTCTCAGAAGGTACGCAAATGGCCAACAAACATATGAAAAAATGTTCATCATCAGGAAAATGCAAATCAGGAAAATGCAAATTAAAACCACAATGAAATACCATCTTACATCAGTCAGAATGGGCATTATTAAAAAGATCAAAAAACAAAAGATGTTGACATGAATGTGGTGAAAAGGGAACAATTATACACTGACGGTGGGAGTGTAAATTAGTACAACCTCTATGGAAATCAGTATGGAGATTTCTCAAGGTAGATCTACCATTTGATCCAGCAATCTTACTACCTGGTATTTACCTAAAGAAACGGAGGTCATTACAGATACCTGCACTCACATGTTCTTCGCAGGACAATTCATAATTGCAAAGATGTGGAATGAACCTAAATGCCCATCAACTGATCAGTGGATAATAAAAATGTGGTCTATATGCCATGAAATGCTATTCAGCCATTGAAAAGAATGAAGTAATATCTTTTGCAGCAATTTGGATGGAATTGGAGACCATCATCCTAAATGAAGTAATGCAGGAATGAAAAACCAAATACCACATGTTCTCACTCATAAGTGAGAGCTAAACTACAGAACTGCAAAGGTATATAGAATGGTATAATGGACACTGAAAAATCAGAAGAGGAAGGGTGGGATGAGAGGATAGGGATGAAAAATCACCTATTAGGTACAACGTGCACAGGTGGGAGTGAAGAATAAAGTACACTTACAGCCCACACTTCTTTGCCACTATACATGTAACCAAAAACCATTTGTACCTCTCCTAAAGTCTGTGGAGGGGAAAGTAAACAATACCTAGGTAACTTTTTCTTAATTTTGAATTTTGAATTAGCATTTTTCTCAATGCTATTTATATCATTAAATAATGTCATTTTAAAAAATTTTATCATGAGTCAACCACAAGTCAGTGAAAATTCAATTTTAAGATTTTTTACATATTCAATGTCAGAAAAATTTGTAATATATAAGTGGTTTTTATGGTATTTTAGCAGATAGTTCAATACAAAAAAATTAATAGGCAATAACACAGGGTACAACCTAAATTGTATTTAATGCATTCACAGTGCTTTTACACCTATATTTAGGTAACTGAGGGAAGATTCCACTCCTGAGATATGAATCTTCTCAATCCTCATAAATCACACTTTAAAAAATATAGTGTTATCTATCAGTCTCTTGAGACAAATTTAAGGAACCTGTGGACTCTTCAATTATTCTCTGACACTTAGATCATGTTCATATATATAACATTTCAGAAACATCTCATGGGATATATTTTCACAAATCACCACAGATATAAGATGCCTAGCAAGTTAATATAATTTTTTGGTTTTACTCTATTTTTCTTCTCAAAGGCTAATTTAATAATCACGTATGCTACATTTTCTATTAAACAATCAGAAATTTTTAAAATAAGACAATATTTTACAAAGAGGATCTCAATTTATAGTATAAAGGCCCATAAACTAGTAAATGTACAAATAAGAAAACGGGCCTGGCATAATTCAGAACAGGCAGTCCTACTTGAGAAAGATAGCTAACAATTTTACACAAGTGGTGAGCCATTTCACCACCAACCAAAGAAAACACAGGCTAATACCATCTTCCCACTGACATTCAGGGACAATCATCTTCTCATTTTACAAATTAAAAAATCGGGAATCTGAGACTACAGATTAACCTAGTTAGAGCTATTAATATATCAAAGTTTTCTTTCCACCACACCAGGTCACCTGTGAAATTCTAGCTAAACATATTCCCCAAAATTGAGAATAATGCTGTCTTAGTTTGTCTAATATTGCCATAACAGAATACCTGAAGATGGGTAATTTATAAGGAAAAGAGATTTATTCAGTTCAGAGTCTGCAAACTGGGAGGTTCTAAGAGCCCAACGCAGGCAACTGCTCAGCTTCTGGGGGCAGGAGACATGCTTCCTGCTGCATCACAACATGGCAGAAGGTCAACAGGGAAGAGGTGGTGCAAAGAGACCAACACACAACACAGAGGGCATCCTTGCCTCGTAACAACCTGCTCTCTTGGGAACAAATCCACACCTATGTGAACTAATCCAGTCTCCCAAGTCTTTGTTATATCATTCTGGGAAAGTAATTTGGTATCTTTATCTATCACTTAACAACCCTTTAGTGAATGGCCAATCTTTACCTAGTATTCTTCTAGCTGCAGGAAATACAGCAGTGAAAAAGACAAGGCTCTTACCATTAAATCCTAATGTGAGGAGACAGACAACAAACAAGAAAACAAGTATCACTTCAGAGAGTGATAATGATGCCAAAAAGGAAATCAAACCGGGTAATATGAAAGAAACAAACTAAAAGGGAGCTATCTATCTATCGTTTATCAGTGTCCAAGAAGCCATCTCTAAAAAAATATTTAAGTTGAACATTAACTGGAAAGAGGGCAGCCTGTAATGAGTTGGACAAACATTCCAGACAGACAGAAGAGCAAAAGCCCTGAGCTAGAACCAGGTCAGAATGCTCAAGGAATAGAAGGAAGGCCAACATGCCTAGAGTACAGGGAACAAGTGTATGACAAAAAATGAGCGTTTATTACAGGGGCCCAGGCACATACTCTTTAACCTAGCAATAACACTTCTAGGCCTCCATCAAACAGCAATGATACTGTGTATATATAAAACTGTCCACAGAAGAATGCTACTGCTAGGAAGTTTGTAAGATGACTGGAAAAACTAAATGCTGGTCATTAGAAGAATGTTCAACAGATTATAGCATAACATATACTACATAATTAATGAAAAGTCAGTAGTATATGCACTGACCTGAAAAGACATCCTAGAGATATATTTTTTTTTGAGTTGGAGTCTCACTCGGTCGCCCAGACTAGAGTACAGTGGCCGCTCCCGGCCACCGCAGCCTCGCCTGCTGGGCTCCGGCAATCCTTCCGCCTCAGCCTTCCGAGCAGCCGGAATTACAGGCATGTGCTACCATGCCCGGCTGATTTTTTGATTTATTGTAGAGGTGAGGTCTCGCCACCCAGGCGGGTCTTGAACCTGCAGGCTCAGGCAATCCACTCACCTCAGCTTCCCAAAGGCACGGGATTACAGGCTGAGCCACCGAGCCCGGCTCATCCTTGAGATATTATATGGAAAAGCAAGTAAACTGATATATATGACATGATTTCATTTTCTTAAATAAGACTCATAAACTATGGCATCATAAATTTTAATCCTTAAGTCTGGTCCTGGATAAATTCCACTTTGCTTCCTCTACCTTTCTCTAATTCACTCCTTGACAGCATTTCAGCATACCTTAGCCCATAAATTATTTCTTAACCTAGGAACACAAACAGCATCACAAAAATTTTAAGAGTACAGAAAATAATATTTCCTTATAATTTAAAACATAATAGACTCTAAATAACTTTGAAATGACTGAATCAGCTTTAATGATTTTAGAGTAGTCAGCATCATAAATTTTACTTAAAATTTTTTAAAATCACATTATTATGAGCAATTAAAGGCAATTAAATATTTGGTGGCTGTTATACTAGCAAAAATGTAAATGATGAATTATTCTTACCTCTACTTTTGTTCGATAGAGAACAAGTCGTCTAAGACTGCACAACTTGGCAATGTGGTTGAAAGCCTGAGGTGGTAGTTTATCACAGGAGGAGAGATTTAAATCCTGTAGATTGGGACACATCTCAGAAATAACCTCCAAGCAAGTTTCATTTAGGAAGTGGCTGCAAGATAATTCAAGGCGTACTAATTCAGATCCACAGACCTTCAGAAACCTGTAAAAAACAACATTCCATGTGAATTTTAAAAATCTAAAAGATATTTTTGTAAAAACTTTGGTATCAATGCTAAGCAGACACACTTATAAGAATGGATTTCTATTAGGGAAAATTTAAAGCTTGTTTTGCTTAAATTTTCACTCACTGCATGCTAAAATGAACAGTTTGGCTAAGTTAACCTGAAAAGATAAAATTATTCACATCATATAAAAGCATTTATTACAGGGGCCCAGTGGAAAATTAAGAAAGCAGAAAGTAGTATTTCTCCTACTTAGCTGTAATTCACATGAAGGTTGGTGAAGTCACACACCCACACACACACACACACACACACACACAAAACCATAACACAACTCTAAACTCTTACAAGATATTTCCTCCTCAAAGCATCCATTCAGCAAGGGATAATATATTTTGAACACTGCCTACAAAGTGACAGCTCTAATTAAATAACTTTGAAACAATTCAGAGTAGGATCCTCTCAGAAAATTTTTGTTGTGATTTGTTCCTTGTAGCTATTACTACTGAGTAGCTAGACTGCCTGATATTGCAATTATTACCAAATATCCAATTGTAGCTTCACATAAAATATGTAGAAATAATCTAAGGTGAAGGACACAAAATGCTTTATCAGAGTAGGAACCACAGTATCTTAGGAATAAATGTATCTTAATTACATTACAGTTAAGGGAAAAATAGTCCTATCCATGCTCATTCCCCAAAAACAATCTACGAGTAAACGTAAATTTAGGAGTACTTGAATCCATGATACTTTATCAACTAGGCAATCTGAATCTTTAAACAGTAGACCAATTATGCCTGTCCAGGTCTCTTGACATAATCTTGTCCATCAGTGTCACATCAGTAATAGACTGTTTTTTATAGACTGTTAGTCAATTTATGCCACATCTTTTTTCCTAAATGGTTTAATGAGCTTACACTTACACATACAAAATAAAACTGACTAAATCAGATCACTTGTGTAACTAAAAGAAATAACACTGGACTAGAAGTCAAAGGATTTTTTTTGTCCTGTTCCACTACTTCCTAATGGTGACCTCAGAAAAGGCACTTACCTAAACCTCAGACTTCCCCAGGTATAAAAGCAGATTTGAAGTATGTACCAGTAGTCACCACACGGCTCATGGTATTGAACATCAATTACTATGTGAATACTCTTTTTAAAGGTCAAAGCACATCACAAAAATTAAATATAAGTTAGATCTTGGCCAATTCACATTTAAACAACAAAAAAATTCAGGTGCCATAAATTTATTTTAAATGTTGCAAATAATTCAGCACCCGCACATCTCATTTACATCTGAACATGCATTTGTTCTTAATCCACTGCAGTCTGTGTTCTTTTCTCCTCAAATTCACCTTTCCTTTCTAAATGCTAAATTCAATGGCCTCTATTATCAGTACTCGCATTATTTGATTTGTGACATTTCATACAAATGCCCACTTCTTCCTCAAAACTCTGATTCTCCTCATCCCTTTCCTGGATCTCTTCTAACCCAACTCACTACTGACGGTTTTGCTAGTTGTAATAGCCAAATTGCAGTCTGCATCAGGAACATTCATTCATTCAACAAGTATGCACTGGGTTTCTACTGTGACCCAGACTGCAGGCACTGGGGAGACAACAGTGGACAAAACAAAGTCCTTGCTCTCACAAAGCGTACTTACATTCTGGTGAGAGAAGGAGACTGTAAACAAATACATGAGTAAAATAAATAGTAAATAAGAGAGTGAACAGTGTCCAAGAAGGAATAAAAGCAGGGAAGGGCAATAGAAAGTATCAAAGGTGAACAAGTCTCAGTGACGTGGTGAATAAAATCTTGCAGCAAGTGAGAGGGTGAGCATGCAAGTATCTGGAAGAAGAGCATTCCTGGTAAAGGCAGCGGCTCTGGGGCAGGATGACAAGTAGAGTGAAGAACAGTGTTGCAATTACGCAGGCTGCACAAAGTGATGGGGAGGTGAGGTGAAGATCAGAGAGGTGAGGGGGCAGTTCATACAGTGTTTGTCACTAGAAAGACTTGCTTTTGCTGGGAAGAGACAGTATTTCTCATCAGGTTTTGAGCAGAGGAGTGACACAACTTCATTGTGTTTTACCCGAATCACTCTAGTTTTGTGCAAAGATTGAAGAGGTGCAGGTTGAAGAGGTGCAGGGGCAAAAACAGAGAGACCATCAGGACACCACCACTGCAATATTCAGGGCAGAGAGGATGTGCTCTGGATTCAGGTGACAGCACCAAATGTGGTCAGAAATATTCAGACTCTGGATATATCTCAAAGATGTATACTAAATTACAACATCCCTCCTAGATACTGGATCTAACTCTGGTATCATCTATTTCCAAACCATTGTTTTCCTCTTAATCATATTTCCTTATTAATTTTGAGTTTTATAAGCTGCCTTATCCTTATCCTTGGCAAGTAAAGCAGACCCCTGGTGCACCCAGTACTTAGTACAATGTCAGGCATGTAAAAAACATTTGGTGACAGTTAGTTGACTGGATCTTACAATTATCAAAATTCACTTGGTAAATTTAATGTTCTTCTATTCTTCAACAAACTATGTTCTAGCAACTCAAGGTATTTTTCCCTTAAAAGGGTCAAACTATTTTAAAGATATGATGAAATTAACATTTCACCTTACTTTGAGTATACACAGTAGTTATGAGAGTTCTTCATTATTTATAAGTTAGTAATCTAGAAAAGGGTGTAGAGTTTCAGAGAATTAACATATATCCCATTTTGACTTGATAATTCTAAAATTATTTGAAGATTATGAAAGTTAAATGAGTGTATTTACTTTCTTATACTTAAAAGTTTTAGGCATTTTATCTCTTTAAGGTCTTCATTATTTGGCAAAGAACTTTGTTCTACCTTCTTTTTCATATTTGACTTAGAATGCCTTGACATCCTTTTTTCTCTTCGCTCTCATTATTGAACTTTTTCCCTCCAAAGAACTTAAGAGTGCTATTAAGCCAACCACCAGAAAGTTGTTGACAGTAGAAAACTTCCCAAGCTGATTTAAGGACTGATAGAATCTTACAGCACAATAAAGATAGTGAACATACTTGTACTACCTTTCTGACTTTCTCTCTCTCAAATTCCTATATTGCATATTTTTACTCTGAGCAGATTATCTGGTCCATATCCCCATATTCTCTCTACCTAAATTTACAAAATCTACATTACCTGCCTTTTCATAATGTCTTTACTCTAAGAGGACAGAAGCAGTAGTGGACTCAATTAGTTGAATATACCTCTTACCTCTTACTCTTTCCCTAATGCTCCTCATGTAAGTTTTATTTTAATGCATAGATATACATATAATACACATACATATATTTATATGTATGTATTTGTCTTGTTCAACTATTTATTCATCTCAACTTTGACACTGGTCACTTGAAAGGTGAACTCAGCTTCTTTATTTCCTGCAGCCTATTCATTCTATATTGTGAATGCTCATAAAGTATTTCTTGATACTAAAGGTTTTATAGAAGACCTAAGTTCAGATAAACAATCCCAACCTAGGTCTCCTGCTATGAGAAAAGGAGTCTCTGGAGAGAAAAATAAATTGCTTATCCTTATGAGGTGAATTAATTTGTCCAGAGTAATACAAGGACATAAGAAGTAATTTACTAAATGGTAACTTGCACCCTAAAATAATTAACATCACATGAATGAACGATTTAATCTGAGTTTACTCATCACAAAATAAAAGGCACTAATCCTCACAACGTGCCTGAAGTCAAAAGGTAAGAGGAGAATTAGATATAAATATCACGGCTTCTGAGTCCTAATCTTATGTTTTGTTAGCTGATCCTTACTGAGTTTTATAAAACAGCGTATTTAAGATAATTTTAATCTCAAATAACTTGGAACATTATTTAATATACCTGATTCAAAATAAAGCCATTAAAAACAAGTTTTACTGTTTACAGTATATGGGTAATATCCAGCAATGACAGAAAGAGAGGAAAAGGGAGTCTTAAAATTGTCTCTACACTTCAGGAGCTGACAATTTAAAAGAGGCAACTGTATAAAATATAGGCAGGCAAGTGAATAAATATATTAATGGGCAATAAGCTCTTTATACCACACCTGTAGCTTTGTGTCAAAATATCTAATAAAGTTATTGAATGTAGGAAGCACCCAAGCATATTTCCTGAAGGAATAAATATAATCTACTTAAAACAAGCAGAGTAGTTAGGGGTAGAAACCCACACATAACTGATGCAGTGATCAGGGTGATTTAGCAACTATGAGAAGAAAAATGGTGGTGGAAAAATGAACCTAAGGCTTTTGAACAGATGATGCAATTAAGCTTGAAAGCACAAACAGGAAAGGAGGCAAAGGAATATCCAAGACTTTAGGGATCTGCATTATAAAGGAAAAGTGGAATTACGATAGACGTGGTTTTAATGAGTAATGATATGCATGAGCTGTACTCAAAGTTGCAAATCATAAATCTGTAGCTAAAATAGGATTTCAATAATTAAAAGTTTTATGTTCTCTTTATTTCAATTTAACTTATTTCTTTGCTATTCTGATGAGCATATATTCCTAAAGAGTTATTTAAAATCCAATTAGAGAAACACCACAGAGGACTTCCGGGCAAGATAGTGATGGAACAGGTTGGACTGTGAGAGTCTCTGCAAAAGCAAGTGTCCACAAAGACTCTCTGCCTGAGCAAGTATGTGTGGTGGGTGAGTGAAAGTCCATCTGAGGGAAGACTCGGGTTCGTGCAGCTGGGGCTCTCCTCCGGAGGTGACTGAAACCCACCACCACCCTGAGATTGGAGACCTGGGCACACAGGATCATCTGCCATGCTTGGGGATCTCCTGAGAAGAGGCAGTGGAAAGCAGCCAATCCTTACCCCCTGGCACCAGGCCCATGCCATTACCTGCAGCAGCAGACGAGAAGGCAGGTCATGCAAATTTGGAATAAAGTTCCAACACGAATGACGGGATGCCCACAGG